TCAACCACCCCCAGACAAAAATGACACCCCACAACTACACCAAAAGTCTTGCTCCTCCCACCTGACAATAATTCTTGAAAAAAAAATCTCCCTTTCTTCTACCAAAGTTTCCCCCACCCAGCAATGATTCCCCCCATGCAAACCTTACCAATCTCAAAAGCAGAGAAGCACTAGCACAGAGTGTGTCAGCTTTACGTCATATGGCTTGCCAGCACTGAGGAGAAGCTTGGGAGAGCTTTCCTGTGCTTTGCACCATGCTGCATCTGGTGTTTGCACATTGACCATATGTAAATGATACTGCAAAATGCTAATTATATGTGTGGGCAGCATAAGCAGGGCTGGCAGCATCCCCCTCATAGGGCAGGGGTGATGCACAGGTCGCACACCCCAAAGACCAATCCTAGTTCTAGATCACTAGCTCAGGAATTACTGAAGCCCTCTCACAAAACAGGGGTAATGCACCCTGTGCTTCCGCCATAAATCGCACGCCCCAAAACTGGGCCCTGGTTCAAGATCAGTAGCTCAGGAAACACTGATGCCATCCCACAGGACAGGGGTGATGTGCCCTGTGTCTCTGCCATAGGTCGTACATCCTGAAGACGGGCCCTGGTTCTTGACCAGTGGGTCTGGAAATACTAAAACCATTACATAAGTATGACAAGTGGTAACTAGAATTTGCCTGCAATGACAGGCTGCTTTTTTTGTCATCACAAGCTTCCTTTAATAACCCCTTATTGTTCTCAGGAAAAACATTTTACCACTTTGAAGTTTGCATCCATACCTAATATTGAAAAACTGTTACAAAATTTAAAGGAGAACTATGGGGTCAGTGTTTTTCCCCATAGTTCTCCTTAGGGTAACGGGAGGACACAAACTAGCGTCCTCCCGTCGCCCAAAGCTCAGTATACCGCGAGCTACAGCTCGCGGTATACTGAGACGCCACAGCCGGAGCGGATCCCGACGTAGATGACGGGATCCGCCCAGCTGCGTGAGTGAAAGCGGGCTCTGCCTATCTAGAGGCAGAGACAGCTGTACCCGCCCCCTCCCCCTTCCGTTCCGCCAGTCAGCGCTGGCAGATCGGAGCAGGGAATCCAGCCCCTCTCCCTGTCACGGCAGAGAGCCGTGGCAGGATCGGAAGGTGAGCGAACCTGGTATGTGTTTGCTCACCTCCCGATCTACTGAGCCGACCTGTGACAGTCTCATTGTCACAGGTCGGCTAGAACTATGAGGTGAGTGGAAATCACTCATCTCATAGTTCTCCTTTAAGGTGACCATACACTATATAATCTGATTGTACAATCTTCTTTAGATCTACCATCAACTGTAGTACAAAGGCTGGCCTGATTTGATACTAAATGGATAGCTTGTATATGTTGTCCTCCTTTTACATAGTATTTATAAATTTTATGGCAATTGTACAGATATGTGTAGTGTATGGCCAGCTGAGGATTTGTGTTTGGTGTTTTTGTTCCTGGAAATGTCCCCTCTTTAAATCCTTACCAATGAATCCATTTCTTCTTGTGGTTGCTAGATACATATGCTTGCTTTCATACATCCCTCCAGACACCCATGAGTAGAGTGGGACAAATTAAATGAAATTGAAACAAAAATAGAGCAACAGTTTTTCATAGTTAGCAGGTTTCCAGTTTTTATTTTATTTATATGTTTTATATAAATAAAATCAAACTCTATACATATATTTATATGTCTAAAAAAGTCTACAGAAATGCATTGAAAGAGATTTTTTTTCAGTTGGGACTTAGCAAAGTGTCTTCCAAGCTTGGGTTCAATTCCCACCAACAGTGCACGTTTTGCAGGTAACCCGGCTGTGTGCACTGGTAAGATTAATGGTTTCAAATATGCGTGGATAGCCGCAAAACACAAACAGTTGGTAGGACTTCAGGACTGGTTTGTGGAACACTAATAAGATGTATAATTGAATTGACTTCACAAGTTGTGTTTTTTGAAGCGTGGTCATGTGCCTCCAAAGAGTTAATGGGTGTAACATATAACGAGTATGAATTCAGCACACATGTGACCTCCCTCTAGTGGATATTTAGCTCATATTCAGTCAGCTCAGGCAAGGTGAAGGTATAGTGCTTGTAAGCAAGTATTGTTTGGGTGCTGTGGTATAGTAAGAAAAATATGGATCAAAATGGTTCAAGTACCCAAAGTATTGTTGACTCAAAGGTAAGCAACTTGGTCTTTAAATGTTTGGATTGTGGTTTTATATTTGGCTTACTGTAATGCAATAGTAGTAAAGGAGCAGTGATGTTTCCTCTTGTTTACCCCTAGAGAGAACTGGAAGATGGTGTTTATATATTATCATTTTATGCAGTGCTTTACATACTACACATTTACATCAGTCCCTGCCCTCAAGAAGCTTATCTAAGGTCCTTATCTCGCATGCATGCAGATGCATATTTGAGCTAGTTTAGACAGAAGTCAATTAATCTACCAGCATGTCTTTTGTGTTGTGTCGAGTGTCTATATATGGCCTAACTTGTATAGCTTCCACTAATAACGCTTCCATGCATACATGAACTTTGAGCCAATATTTGAAATTAGTGATTGAATTCAGGGAAACTAAAAAACATTCAAAACTTTACTCATTGAAACTGAAATGAGCATTAATTGTAGTAGAGGGCCCTGGGAATGCATTTAGACCACAAAGTATTTGCTTATTTCAAGCTTGCTGAAGTGCAGCTGTATAAATGTGGTAATTGTTAAAGCTTGACCTATAGGTAATTGGGTCTGATTAAACTTTGTTTTGTACCATACCTACCCCCTCCCCATTTTTCTTGTAGCACATTTTAAAGGGGAAATATGATACTTAAACATCAAAATGCTGTGTGGGATGCATTGAAAATGCAGTTGCAGGCCAACAGAAATGTGGTCCTGCAGGCATGTGACCCCTAGTGGTAACTTCACAATATACAGCGTAGAATCCTCTACACAAATGCATAGTAAATGCAGTAATAGAGCTGTAAGGAAAACCAAGCTACTGTTGCCCACACAAAGCAGTCAAGTTTTCTCTTACTGGGAAGGGACAGTGGGGCTAGGAATCATGATTGCTGTAGGCAATAGCTTGACTTGCTTGCTTTGGCTTTCTTTACCATGATTCCAAAAAAGCACCAGGTCTTGAAATGCAAGTGAGCATTTTGTTTTGTGAACATGCTCACTGAATAGCATAAAAATGTTTGCATTAACGATTCTCATGTATCTTTTATTTTTTTTGTAATAAAGCCAGAAGCAACCACAGAGAATGGTGTTGGAGACTCAAAGGTAAATTATTGGAATTGTAACTTTAGTTTTGGCACCCCTCCCCTTTTTTGTAGAGGTTTTTTGGTACCTGGCAGGGTACTGAGAGCACATGCAGTCTTAATTCATAACCCCTCCTTCTCACTTTGCTGGTTGTACAAAATTCTGGGTATGTTACATGTTCCCTTCCTCAGCAGCCAATTGCCAGCCCTGTCTGAACACATCTGTTTACCATTATTGGCTGTATTTTGCAACTACTGTGATAATTTTGGTTTTAATTATCGGTTTGCATGTGCATTTCTTTAAAAAAAAAAAATATCAGTCAGCACTGACCAGTGACTTATTTTGTCTTGCAACCTTAATCTGGCCACTGACTTTTTTTT